CCAGGTCCACAGGAGATGCTCGCTGTCTGAGAATTACAATGATTAAATCCATTCATAATAATTATGGAGGACACAATTTGTGTGCAAACTTTGAAGACCTCCAAAGGCTTGGGAGATTTTGTTGCTGCTCTCGGTTTGTTTTGTTTTGTTTGTTGAGCTATGGAGGGTCAGACATAATGACATTTTGTACATTTTAATCAGCTATTCTGTGTAAGACCACTTGCTGAATAAATGCAAACACAGACCTCTGATAAATATTTCAGAGAAGTAAAAACTCAGATATGCAACAATAACAGTGAGGAGTTTTTACAAGTATTTTAATGTAAATTTACACCCGAATTTACAGCAATATACCGTATGTTAATAAATAATTCATTGCCATTATACAGCCCAAATAATAAATTACATAACAACGGATTGAAGCAAATAGGCAAGATTTCACAGCAGGTTTGCAGAGGAGACGGAAAAAGTGACGCAGGACGGTCAGGTGAACTGGAGGGGAGGGCGGGATTGCTACGGTGCTTGTGCTTGTAGATAGAAACTGAACAAGTGACATTATTTTTTTGTCTTAAACAAAAAGAAGTCTCATCAAAATACCAGTGAAAGGTATAGTTTGTTATTCTGTCGCTTAGGTTATGCATAAAACAATAAATAATTATTACAGGTGTCTTTTTTTTTTTAAATGAGTTTTGACATGAATTGGAATAGTGAACTAAATAGTTTGGCTTTTCTCTTCCTGAAAGTAGTTTTCAGTTGAAATTGGACAAAAACTGCGAGAAATCCTCGCTCAAGTGATGCAGAATCTGCATTATTTGTCTCTCTAACATTTATGGTCATGTTAAGGGCTTTGAGACACAGACTCCCGGGTGTACCATCCAAAAAAATGGTACATGACTGACGTCTCTCCATCCACAGTGCACCTCTCAATCATTTTAGCGTCACGTAACACCGACTGTGCCAGTCTCCTTAAATTTCGAAACCTTTTCATTCTGACCAGCAGCAGTTTAAACAAAGCATATGGCTTCCCACGACAAATGGTTAAACCGATAAAGCATACAAAACTCTTCATCTATCACAAGTGACATTACCCATTAAAAAAATCTGACCTAAAAAAAAAATGCCATTGATACCATTTGCTGTTATATAGACATTTTAGACGTTCCCTACGCTCCGTAGAGCTTTTACCAGCGACACACACCGCTTCATCTGTCAGATATATATAACTAAGCAGACAACATACAATACAGAGGACGGTCAAGTTTTCCCTCTGCTTACATTTCAAGTGCATCCTGTCAAGTTTAAGGCCTGAGGTGTGCTTGATTCCTTGACTCAATTTTTATTTTCTGAGGTCCAACTGGGTGATCATTGCACACCCGGATTACCTCATTGCTGCCCAGAAAAGCTACAGATATGTGCCTGCTGATACATTTATTTAGTGTAGACTGAAACATTTTAAATCCATATGAAAATATGACTGTACACTGGGCATACAGTCTTGTGAAGGAAAAAAAAAAAGCACACTCTCTTTCGAATCTAAGAATGAACATATTAGCACATAATAAATGATCTGGTCCTTACTGGGTTCTAACATTATTTAACTATAACCTCAGATAAGCATGCTGCATTACACCGTGTCATTATTAATTTCACCAAAATCTATAACAGAATTTCCAAGCAGTGCATGAAAAACTAAGCACACCCTCACTGCCTCTATAGCAATTAAGAGCAGCTAGGTGCTGGCTGATTGATTGACCATCAGCAAGTGTGAGAACCTCTATAAAAGCAGTTTTGGAAGTTTACAGCTCAGGAGCATTCAGGTGTGTTTTAACAAAGTGCCAAGGAGATAAGACATCAGCAGTGATCTGAGAAGCAATTGTTTTAAAAGAGTTATGAGGCCATTTTCAATTTTTTTTAAGTGAAAGATTATTAACAAGTGGAATACATGCAAACCAGTTGCCAACATTCTCTGGAGTGGATGCCCCAGTAAATTTACCCCAAGGTCAAACGCTGCACTGCTCAGAGGAACTGCAAAAACCCAAGAGCTGCATCTCAGGCCTCATTCAGCATGTTAAATGTTAAAGTTAATGACAGTACAGTTAGAAAGAGACTGAACTAGTATGGCTTGTTTGGAAGGGTTGCCAGGAGAAAGCCTCTTCTCTCATGGCAGCATGGCTTAGGTTTGCAAAGTTGCATCTGAACAAATTACACGATTTTAGTGGAACAACTTGCAGAAATTGGGTCGTGCAGCAAGACAGTGGGCCTCATTCACAAACAGTGGTTACACACAAATCTGTGATTCATCAATATTTTAATATGCAAACTTGTTTGTAGTCTATAAAGAAATTTAGAAGTGCCCCTGGCCAAGTGTACAGAGAAATGTCTCAGACATGACAAGACACCTGTCTTTAAATACTAATATTATTACTGCTCCTGCTACTACTACGAATAATAAAATCAGGATTATCAGAATTACAATTAAATAAATAAAAAATTGAAAAGGTGGAGGTCTTTTAATTTAAATGTATTCCAATATCCCTTTATCTCATCTTACATTAAATGTTCTTTTTTCATTAAAATGACTTCTGTCGTATCGCTGGATATGATTCCTTAAAATCCAGTTTCTTGGCACTTCTCCACAGATATTAGAAAAAGAAAGGATTGAGTTTCTCATCTTGGACAGATCAGCTGCTCCTCATTCTTCAGCTGTTTTCTTTTTTTTTAAAATTTTATAGTCTGTTGTTCAAACTTGTTTCAGTTTCTTCAGTCAGACTTTTTCCTGCTTTCTTCCTTAGCACTGCAGGTCTTAACAACATCACCACAGCTGTCTCTAACTCGTTTTGAGGTCAATGCATTTACATATATAGAGAAATCGGGCTGTGGCAGTATGAAGATTGCAGAATCCTGTTGGATTCAGATTCAGTAACAAACGTGTGTTGGTAAAACAAAAAAGGGCGCTGGGCGCAATTTATGATTCCAACAACATTTTTTCATACACGCTTGTGTAACAAAAATTTACATAAATACTAGTGAATGAGGCCCAATGGCCCTGACAATGTCCAGACCTCAGCCTGTCTAAAAATCTGTGGCAGGACCTCGAGAGAGCCATGCATAAACAAATGCAAGAAAACCCCAGTGAACTGAAGCAACGCTGTAAAGTAGACTGAGCCAAAATTCTTCCACAATGATGTAAGAGACTGCTGCAGTCATACAGAAAATGTTTACTTCCAGTTATTGCTCCTAAAGGTGGTTCTTCAAGCACTGAACTGTGAGGTGTACTTAGTTCTGACACACTGCTGTTATTGTCCAACTGATATTGCATTTGAGCTGTTAAGGACCAGATGATTTTTGTGATTATGTCCTGATAAGTAAAACCTTAGAACTGAAAGAGGTTGTACTCTCTTTTTCACATTGCTGTACTTGAAAGCCAACTCAAGTAGGAGTGGTTAGCGTTACTCTAACAACGATGCTGCCGTAGCTACGCAGTGTTGTTGAAATCCATGGGAAGAATCAGACCGTTTAAGCTCTACATGGACACCATGGATTACAGTTACTGTGATACAAATATAGCAGGTAGTAAGGTGTATCTGGGACCAGTCATGTGACAGAATTGACTGTCCAAAAAGGGTAACAAGACAACTGTTGGCTCCGTCGAGTGCTTCGAGTGAGGAGAGTGGCCCGGCTCCAGCCCGTTCTTGTTACTGTTCCTCCGCTGTCAGAGGCTTTGGAGAGTCTGTGTCAGAGGTCACCTCGGCGTGTGCCCGTTCACTTGGCCCCTGCCCCAGTGAATGTTCGGTAGAGTCAAACACCTCCTGAAGTGCTCGAGCTGGGCCTGCAGTCTCTCCCTCTCCTCTCTTACTTTCTGCCTCTGAGTCACCAGCTCCTAATAAACGAAGGATAGACACGGCTGTTATTACAGAAACCAAGGCTTTATGCACCAAGCTACATTGCTACAACAGGAGATGGCAACACTGGCACCAAAGAGTACACATACGTGGAAGACACAAAATGATGCTTACCCCCATAGTGATAGAGAGCTGCTCTGCAGTTCTGGTCAGATTGTAGTTCTGTGCTTCGAGTCTTTTACACTGACTGTGAAGGACTTGCCTCTCTATACTCCATTCTGTGAAGAGAAAACAGGCAGTTTCAGTTAATTATATTGCATTTTAACTTGTCTTTTACTCCAATTTTAGCCCCCCTGAGCTCACACACACCAGTGTACCCGCTGAGCTATTTACTTTGGATTAGAGGTCTAAATTGTATGTAGCAGATGACGCTAACTCAGGGTTTAAATTTAGATTTAAAAAAACAAAACAAAAAACAACTTGAGTCTCTCTAAATCATGTTCGTCCATTGTTTCAGTGTCATTTCGATGCCTTTTCCTTCTGCATGTACAATTAGTCCATGCAACCTTTGCACTGTTATCACAGGGACATTATTTCAGAAGCTGCTGATCTACTGGGATTTCCCCACACAACCATCTCTATGGTCTACAAAGAAAGGCCCAAAAAAGAGAAAATATCAGTGAGTGGCAGATGTCTCTGGGTTGTCAGAGGTCACAGGACAATGGCCAGAATACTTCACGCTGACAGGAGAGCAGCAGTAACTCATTACAAACAAGTTTAAGGTTTCTTAAATGTGACAGTAATTTCACTGTACTCAAATCTCAATCCAATAAAGCACCTTTGGGATGTCGGGGAGTATCTGCAGCAACTGAGTGATGCCATCATGTCAATGTGGAGCAAAATCTCTGAGGAATGTTTCCAGCACATCATTGAATTTTTGCTAAAGGAAAATGGGGGTCCAACCGCTATGGCCCACTGCTCCGACCAATTAACAAAGAAATAAAAAAAAAATCTGAATGTTTTTTAGCAAAATATATGAACATCAAGAGTAAATGTTACATATATGCAGTCATTTTTGTAACTATAAATCATGTAATAAAGAATTGAACTGTTTGGGGTTAAATTTATTAATGTATGGTCTTACAATAGGGTTACAATATAAAGCACCTTCTTGTGATTTAGCACAATATAAATAAAACTGAACGGATCTATATTTATCCAGAAGACATAAAGCTCTCCAAGAAATCCATAGTGCTGCACATCTGCCAAGACATTTGATGTTTTTCATGTCTCCATTCACAACATTTTGTTCATATATTAAATTAACAACCTACAAAAAATTAAGACGCAGGTTTTAGGTGGTTGAGCACTCTTAAGTTTTAAAAGTCAAGAATTTCAAATTCGAGTCCCTGCATCTCCGGCTAATTCTTTTACTGTTCACTGATTTTTGACCCGACTTCTGAGATTAATCTCACACTCTTGCTGAAAACTATTTACATGCAAGTTGTATATGTAGGCATTTGCAGTGCACAACTTTTACAATTATGTATGCAACAAAATGTTTTTACATCATGTATATAAATAACTTTCTCTGTTTTCATCATATCACAGAAAAAGCGACTATTGGGGTAATGCATGTGCTATGTCACTGACTCACCGTCCACATACTCCTGGTAGGCCTCAAAAATAGCTTCAATGCCCTGCCACTTCCTCGGAACATCCTCCTCCTCCTCCTCCTCTTCGTCCTCTTCCTGATCGGACTCTTCCTCATCCTCAGACAGGTTCTCCTGTGGGGCTAGACAGTCCCGGTTGGCTACAGAAGAAGGGAAGTGATGGCCATTGATATGTGCACGCTGAGAGACATGGATGAGATTTGAACTTTTCAGCTGAGAGACGCTGTGAGGCTGCGAGGGATCGGCCTTCACGCCGGCCTCTGGGACACAATTTGAGAGTCCTTAAGAAGAAGAGAGTGAGACAAAACAAACAAAAAGCAAAGTCAGTCCTTGTAGCTCTTTTTAACAGCTTGATGTGATTTTCACTTAACGTGATAGGAACTGGACTTTTGTTTACATTTTAAAGGCAGTGCAGTGCACACTGACACCACTAGGTGGCAAACCCCTAACATTATAGAACAATCAGGTCATGCACCTATGGGAGCGTGGCTAACCTTTGTTCTGCAGTGTGCTGTGTGTGGACTGCAGCACAGCCTGATGGAAGTGCTGAGCGAAGGCCTCAGGGGTGAACCGCTCCAAGGGTCGATTCCGCCCATTCTGCACTTGACTGGGCTCCTTTTTCTGAGCAGCAGCAGCGCCAGTGCCAGCGCCGTTCTGGAGGCCCTGGCGCTTCCTGTTCGATTGTGTCTCCACGAATTCAACCTTTTCATGATGTGGGGCCAAGGGAGGAGGGAGCCGAGTCACCGTGGAGTCTACAGGTGGTTTGTGCGCGTCGTTATGAAGGTGTTTATGTTTGCTAAGATAGGGAGGGGAGGGGCTGGGAGAGTCTGGGTACAGGTGTCCATTTGACGGACACGGCAGAGGTGCTGAGAAGGAGTCACCTAAAAGATAAGCAGAGGTTTTATTAAAGAGTTGTTTGCTGATTCATCGAGAGCGCATGCATTCATGTTTCCTGCGTTTGTCTGCGTGTGCCTCACCAGTGGAGGGAGCCGGAGGACTTCTACACAGTGGTAAAGGATTATATCTGAGTGTGTCTAACGTCACAGTCTTCCTCTGAATGGCCTTCAGCAGCTCTTCTGTTCTCTCTTTATCTACAGAGAAAAAGACAGAATGAGAACACCCATCACTCATATTTTAAAAAAATATGTGTTAAAAAAAATGACTTGGTCGGGAACTAATGGGGAAGTGTCAGGAAATGGATGACCTGAGGGTAATGCCCAATTCAGAGAGGAAAAAAATTCAATTGAATGAAGTTCTTACCAGTTTCCCCCCCTCAACAGTCTCCAAATGTTTTCTTAAGGTCAGAATAGCGTACACTGAGTTTAGATTTTATGCCCCATTTCATCGACAACTAGATCTTACTGAAGCACCGGCCTTACAGAAAAGTCTTCAGAAAATGAAGAGGAAAAACTTTAAAAGAGAGTGCAAGTGAGCTGCTGATTATACAACAGTGTCCCTGCAAGCAAGTAATAATCATTTAACAACAGAGAGTTTACACTGGTATTTGAAAATCCAATTTTCAGATTGTAGTTATGAGATTCTTTTTAACAGAGGGGTAAAATAAAATAAAAACACAGCCAGTGTGAAAAACAAAGAGCTCTAAGAATATTTAACACTTCTTAGGCAGTCTTTGCATAATAATATTTCTAACTTTTAATATAAAAACTTGAGAGAGCAATGGAAAATTTCTCATTCATTGCATTCTGCCATCAGAGAGGCATCTTATTAGTCCTCATTCATCCTGCAGCATGACAAGAACCTCAAACGTACAGCCAGAGTCACCATCTGTTTTCAGTGACTACTGCAGACGGTATGGACTTGTGGTCACCTTCATGTTATTTTAAAACCCCAAGATTTTTCTATTGTACTCCTTATACATGCCAATGCCACTTTCTTAGGACCAAGTTTTTCTGATTAATAACTGCTTTTGTAGCAAATCTGCTTCACGATTTCATACATTTTGCTCTTCTGCATACTATAGTTGCACTTTTTGTTGTTCCTGACATCAGCACTTCATTTTCAGGTTATTTTCACCCAAAGAACTAATGCTTACTGATATCTTATCTTTTTGGACCAGTGTTTATAAACCGTAAAGATGGCTGTGTGGGAAAATCCCAGACGATCCTCAAATTCTGGAGTACCCTGACAACCATGCCTTGTTCAAGTCACTAAAATGAATGTTCTTCTCTTTCCAATGCTCAGTTTAAACTTCAGCAGGTCATCACGACCATGTCTACACGCCTAAATGCTCTAAGCCAGGGGGCCCCAATCCCAGTCCACGAGGGCCGGTGTCCCTGCAGGTTTTAGATGTGTCCTTGATCCATCACAGCTGATTTAAATGGATAAATTACCTCCTCAACATGTCTTGAAGTTCTCCAGGGGGCTGGTAATGAACTAATCATGTGATTCAAGTGTGTTGACCCAGGGTGAGATCTAAAACCTGCAGGGGCACTGGTCCTCGCGGACTGGGATTGCGGACCCCTGCTCTAAGCTAATGCCACGCGATTGGTTGATTTTCGTTGACAGGTAGTTTAATAGGTTTACCTGATGTAGCAGCCACCCAAAAGTGTACTTGAAGATATTTTTCTACATATTTAGTTTTGCCAGTTTTTTCCATTATACATCTGCAGTTTATCCAGTTTCATAAATTAATGACCTTTTAAACAGATTTCACACATTCTGAAGCAGTACCATGTCTTTCCTGGATGTGGGCTCAAATCTACTCTTGCTGGACAAATCAGAAAATCCCACTCCAGCCTTCAGATTCTTCCTAACTTTATTTTCTTCTCACATGCTTCATTTTTTTTCCCCTCCACGGGGAATCACCAGAGCAACTCTGAAGAAAGCAGAGTAGCACGTAGGATGTGTGTGTGGATACCAAACAGGTTGTTACCTCTCCTCTGCTGTGGGCTGACGTGCGAGAGGTTGAACATAAGGAGGAAGTCTTTTTTCTTCTCCAGTTCGGGGGTGCAGTCCATCTGCTCGGCAGAGTACGGAGTAGTTAAGGGAGTTGTGGGTGTTGAAGATGTTGAAGATGAGCAGGCCTTTTTCTTGCCCTGCACAGCCGGAGGAGAGACGCTGCGCTCTTTCATCATCCTCCTCCTCTTCCTCCTCTTCTGAGCCAGAAGATCATCGCGATGGGTCAGCGTAGTAAGACCACACACACGCAGAAAATCCACTTTCTTTGGAGAAAGATCAATCAGACAAAAGGGAAAAAAAACTCCCAAAAAACTTAATACCTGTGATGAATGCATATGTGACTGTGTGTGTTTTCGCACCTCTGAAGACGTGTCCAGCTTGAGTGGGGGCTGTTCTGTCACTCTTCTCAGATGAGCTTTCACCTCCTCCTCATCGCTCTCATCATATGACTCATCCAGGTCATAGTAATAACCTGGTAAAGGCAGAGCATTATTAAAACAGGCCTGTGCATCAGTAATGACCTGATCTGCAGTTCCCTTTAGTCTTCCATCTCCACCTCCTGCTGCTTTCTGTTTTATTCCTCTCACCTCCTTCTTTGGCCTCTTTCCTCCTCTTCTCTTCCAGGTCGAGTTTGCTGAGCAGCCTGCGATGCTGCTGGAGAACCTCATCGTACACCATCATGCTGTCAGGCACCTGATGCGGTCGCTCCCTTACCGCTGGCGGAGAAGCAGCCTGGCACCGTCCCCCTAGGTCAGTGCAGGCTCCACTGGAGATAGACGGAGGCATAAAGGATCGCTGGTGGAGGTTATTGATGTGATGCCGGTGGTAGAGGCTCTGGATGGCTCTGTCCTGCTCACTCTTGTTCCAGCACTCCTGTAAACTTGCTCCCCTGAGTGAGGCGAACCTTTCTGGGCTTTTTGCCATCCTCCTGTTGCCCTCTTCCAGCCTCTCCCCCCATGCCGCAGGCGGTCTCTCAGCTCTGGTCAATCCCGGTGGCGGTCGACTCGGTGGCGTTGGGGCGTTTAGTTTTCTGCGGGAGTCTGCAGGTGCGTCAACAAGAGAAGCTGGGTTCCACAGTGTAGTGGCAGGGGCAGGAGGTTGATGAGGAGCTTTTGGGGAGATTAGCGGCGGTGGAGCGCCGAGGCAGGCTGCGACATCTTTGCTGCCTGGGTTGTGATAGACTGAACCGGTACTGCTTAGAGGAGCAGAAAGAAACTTTTTTTATTCAAATTCTGGACCTAATAAAGAGTGCATGGTGTTTCAAAAGGGATACAAATTGTATTCAAAAGAAGAAGCAGCTAATTCTCACCGGCTGCCGTCTCTCCTCGGTTCCACCCCTTTCCCCGGTGACCTGAGGCCAAGCTCCCTGTCCTGTCCTTGTGCTCGCTGTCGTGTTAACCACGCCTCCTCGCTGGCTCTCTGACTCATCATGCTGGCGGAAAGAGCTCCATGGATCCCACCAACAGCACCAGCATGATGTTTCCCCAGGTGAGAAGGCAACAAGCTGGGCACTGGGTATGGCACAGAGCCCCTGGAGGAGTGAATGCTAGGCTGCAGAGGCTTAGGTGCTGAAAAACCTGGGTGTTCGGAGTCCTTGGATTTATCTGGAGAAACTGTGGAGTTATGGAAAGTGCATGTGTTATGTGCTACGCTGATATATCAGGATGTTTATTTACTTCAACAGCACAAAGTAACGGGCCTTTATTTGATGCAGTCTTTATTTCTAAGTCCTTCAGTTTGATAAGTATAACTGGACATATTAGTCCATTTTCCACTGCAGGAAGCCTTATTTTAGGATCTGCTCCCATTGCCCTTTTAAGTTATAGTATTACGTGCAGAATGTGTTCACAGAGGTTAAAAAAATGAGACAGACTGTGTGCAGAGCTGAGATTTTTAGCCAAAGAGCGAGAGCTTGAAGAGAGAATAAAATGTAAAGGTTTCAACCACAAGTGTGCTAATTTATATGTCAGTCTGCTTGTACTTTAAACAATTTACTGCATCCTTTTGATAGTTTTATTTCAGCAAGTTGAGAAGTCAGCAAGTTCATCGAAGTCATTAGGAATTCTCCTTTGGGGTATAAATGTTTCTAACAGATTTCATTGCAATCTGGCCAGTAGCTGTCAGGATATGTGGCTCAGGTCCAAAGTGTTGGGCAGACACTTTATTTAAGCAACACAAGTGTTAAAAATTTAAACTACTGCAGATCAAAACCAGCTGTGTTGTGAGCTTCTGTCTTCTTTCTCGATAATAATGAGTCATAATGAGTCAGCTATATTCAGAACAGACTACTCGGGTATTTTAACTGAAATTAAGTAATAAATAAATAAATAAATCAGTTTCTAAAACTCTGTATACATGCTTGAGCATGCACCTGCAGGCGAGCGCACATACATGTACACGCGTGTTTGTGTGTAGGTACCCAGTCTGTTCGGGGTCAGCCTTTCTCCTGGCCTGGCCCTGTCCTCTGGTGGTGCCCTCCGAGCATGCAGCTCAGCCAGGTAGTGGCCCTCCGCCGCTCTGACCATCTGCTGCTGTCTCTCCCTCTGCCTCTCCTTCTGTCTTTCCAGCTCTCTCTCACGCTCCCTCTCCTCCTCTCGCTCCCTCTCTCTTTCCCGCTCTCGTTCCAGCCCGGCCTCTCGCTCTCTCTCTTTCTCTCGTTCACGCTCTTGCTCTCTCTCTCGCTGGCGGAGCTCGTTCTCCATCTGTAGCCTGTGGGGGAGGTTGACAAGTATGCGTACACACAGACACACACACACACACACACACAAAAAGGGAGAAGGTGAGAGATGCAACACCCAACATGAGGCAGATATTAACCACACACTGGTGAACCTCGCACAAACATTTCTACTAAAACATACACACACACACACACACGCAGCTGCAG